CATCTCACTGATAGCAAAACCAGACAAAGACATTAAAAGAAAAAAAGCCTTTAGACTAATATACCTCATAAACGCAAAACATCTTAAAATCCAAACAAATTAAATCCAGAGATATATGAAAAAGATAATACATCATGACCAAGGAATGCAAGGAATAAATGTAATTAGCAGAATAAACAAAATGAAAAAGAAAAAGCTGATCATCTCAGTAGATAAAGAAAAAGCACATGACAAGATTCAATACACATGAAAATTCTCAGCAAATTAGGAATAGAAGGAAAGGCATCTACGAAAAGCCTACCATCAACAGAATTTAATGGTAAAGACTGAATATTACCCCAAAAGTCAAGAACAAAGAAAGGGTACTTCTTTTACCTCCTCAATTTAACATTGTACTTGAGGTCCTAATCAGAGCACATAGGCAATTAATTAATGGTGCACCCATCAAAAAGAAAGAAGTGAAACTGTTCAAAGATGTCACAATTTTGGGCTCAGAAAGCTACTAGAACTAATAAGTGAATTTACCAAATCACAAAATACAAGGTCAGTATTAAAAAACCACCTATTTCTATATACTAAAAATGAGCTGTTAGAAGATGAAATTTCAAAATATATAATAGTTGTTCTAGCATCCAAAAAACATGAAATACGTAGGAATAAATTTAACATGATATGTGCCAAACTTGCACACTAAAATCTATAAAACATTGCAGAGCACAATCTTTAAATCTAAACAAAGATCATAACATGTTCATGGTTTAGAGGACTCAAAATTGTGATGTCATTTCTCCCTAAATTGAACTATGCATTCAACAAAATCCCAGTAAAAGACCCAGAAAGTTTTTTTTGTAAAAACTGGCAAGTGGATTCTAAAATTTATTTGAAAATGCAAAAAATCCAGGATAGAGTTTTTGAAATAGAAGAGCAGAGTTGGAGAGCTCACCTATCTGATTTCAAGATATACCATAATGCTACAGGAATCCGTACTGTAGTGTTGGCACTAGGTCAGACAGGTCTATGGGACAAAAAAAAGTCCAGAAATAGACCAACATGTGCATGCTTAACTGATTCTCAACAAGAGTGCCAAGGCATTTCAATAGAGAAAGGGTAGTCTTTTCCAAAAATGGCGTTGGAAAAACTGAGGATCCACCTGAGAGAAAAAAAGAAATGAACCTCAACGCTTACCTAAACTTCAAATGGATCACAGATGTAAAAGTTCAAACTATAAGACTTCTAGAAGATGACTTAGGAGAAAACTTTCACGGCCTTGGGTTAAACAAAGATTTCTTCAAATACCAAACCCATGCACCATAAAAGGAAAAAAGTTTATTGGACTGCATCAAATTTTAAAATGCTCTTCAAAAGATGCCATTTTAAAAAATGAAAAGATAAGCCATGGGCAGGATTAAAAGATCTGTAATGCATATACATAACAACATAGGTATCCAAAGTGTATAAAGAATCCCTACAATTCAGAAAGAATAATCAAAAATAGCCCAATTTTTAAATGGACAAAGTATTTAAAAAGGTATTTTGCAAAAGAAGATACACAAATGACCAGCAAACTTCAAAAGATGTTCAACATCACTTGTTAAATAAAAATAAACACAAGAGATGTCACACCATATATATATATATATATATATATATGTATATGTATATATATACATATATATGTGTGTATATATGTATATATATGTATATATATATATATATATGTATACACATATATGCACACATCCACAGCATGGCCAAAATTAAGAAGACTTACAATGCCAAGTGCTGATGAAGATGTATGGCAATTGGAATTTTCATACATTGCTGATAGAAATGCAAAATGGCACAGGAATTTGGAAAATAATTTTACAGTTTCACATAAAGTTTAATATAGGCTTACAAAATGATCCAGCAATTCTACTACTAGGTATTTGTCAAAGAAAAACTAAAACAGGGATTCCTTGGTGGCTCAATCATTAAGCGTCAGACTTCAGTTCAGATTATGATCCTGGGGTCCTGAGATCAAGCCCCACATCGGGTTCCCTGCTAAGCGGAAAGCCTGCTTCTCCCTCTCGCATTCCCCCGGCTTGTGTTCCCTGTCTTGCTGTGACTCTCTCTGTCAGGTAAATAAATAAAATTTTTTTAAAAAAAAAAAGGAAAGAAAAACTAAAATATATGTCCATGCAAAGACTTCCTCTCTAATGTTTATGACATTTTTATTCATAACATACGTGTAAAACTGAAAACTACCCAAATATCCATCAAAGGGTGTATCAGTCAGGGACATATCACAAGGAATTGGCTCATGCAGTACTGGGGGCTAGCCACAAGTCTGAAACCCACAGAGCAGGTCATCAAGAAAAGCAAATAGGAAGGTCTCCAGCAGGAGCTGAAGCTGCAGTCCACGGGCAGAACGTTTTCAGGGAAACCTCGGTTCTGCTCCTAAGGCCTTTCAACTGATGGGATCAAGACCACCCACATTACTGAGAGTAATCTTTATATAAAGGCAACTGATTATTGGTGTTAATCACCTCTACAAAATGCCTTCACAGCCACATCTTCATTAGTGTTTGAATAAGTGGGTATGATAGTTTAGTCAAGTTGATGCATAAAACTGACCAGCAGGTGACTGGGTATATAAACTGGGGGTATACGGGCGCCTGGGTGGCTCAGTTGGTTAGGCAACTGCCTTCGGCTCAGGTCATGATCCCAGAGTCTCAGGATCGAGTCCCACATCGGGCTCCCAGCTCCACTGGGAGTGTGCTTCTCCCTCTGACAGTGCGTGTGCTCTCTCTCTCTTATATAAATGAATAAAACCTTTAAAAAAAAAAAAAAGTCTGTTTCTCATATTGTGGAATACTATTCAACAATAAACAGAAACAAACTACTGATAGAAGTAATGGTATGGATAAATAAGTCTCAGACACATTTTGTTCAACAAAAGAGGCAGACAAAAAGACCCTGTAGGATTCTACTTACCTGAAATTCTAGAACAGTCAGTAATGATCCACAGTGTCAGAATAGGTGTTTGCCTAATGCCAGTTAGACGTTAGGGTGAGGATATTGGCTGCAAAGAGAAACAAGAAAATTTGGGAGAGTGATGGAAATTATAACTGGACTGCGGTGGTGGCTACCCAACTATATATATTTGTCAAATTTTAATTTTGCACCTTTTAAAGATTTTATTTTTATAAATATAAGTAATCTCTATTATATAAATATAAGTAATCTCTACACTCAATGTGGGGCTTGAAACCCCAAGGTCAAGAATCACTTGCTCCACTGACTGAGCCAGCCAGGCACCCCAAATTATACACTTTAAACGAGTGCATTCGTGTACATAAATTGTTTCTCAATAAAGTTGATGTGTTAAAAGTGTTGGGGGCAGGCGGGAGCTGATTCCTGCACAGCAGAAGCTCAGTCAAGGTTCCAGAGAGATCTATCCAGTTCCTATAGCACCATTTTTGGAAGACTATCGCTATTGAATTACCTTGGCACTTTTGTTGAAAAGCATTGAACTGGGCGGGGGGGGGGGGGCCTGGAGTGGCTCAGTGGGTTAAGCCTCTGCCTTGGGCTCAGGACCCTGGGATCAAGCCCCATATCGGGCTCTATGCTCAGCAGGGAGCCTGCTTCATCCTCTCTCTCTGCCTGCCTCTCTGCCTACTTGTGATCACTCTCTCTGTGTCAAATAAATAAAATCTTAAAAAAAAAAAAAGAAAGAAAAGCATTGAACCTATATGTAGGTGAGAAGTTCCCTGGATGGGAGTGAAGGATCAAAATACAATCAGACCAACTATACTTTGAGGAGGGATGGAGAGAAGAGGGGAGGGGAGAGGAGATAGGAGAGGAAGAAAGGGGATAAGGGAAAGGAAGGGAAGGGAGGAAGGGAGGGGGAGGAAAAGAGGGAAATAAAAATTTAATCAGATCCCTGGTTATTTCTGGCTCCCAGAGATGTCACATGAGCAAGACAGAGGGGGATGGTGGTCAACTGAAAAGCCGCCTCCTCTTCACTACCACCACCCGGCCCAAGCAAACATTTCAGTGCTGCACTGCGCCCCGTGAACTGCTGTTTGTTAAATGACTGGTCCTCCTAAAGTGTGTCCCACGTGTATTCCTCACAGCAGTGAGCCACAGCAGCCTCTACGGTAACCAAACTCATTCCCACCCCTTCCTGACCATGCGAGAAATCATCCTTTTGGAAACAGGGTGCTTCACTGGGAACCATAACCTTTGGGGGCCCGCCCTCCTGGCCTTGGAAAAGGCCCACATCTAGGGGGCAGAGAAAGGGCGGGAAGGAAGGCGACGAGTAGTAAGAAGCCTTAATGCTGCTTCCCATGGGGGTGGAGAAGCAAGTCTAAGCTAGGCGGTCTCACCCGGCAGGCCTTGGTGAGTCCCCAGAGGTCATGAAGGTGGTGCTCCCGGCGCGGTCCTGGGCCCGCAGCAAGCAACATCACCTGGGAACCTGTTCGAAATGCAAATCGCCTTGGCTCCACCCAGCCCTCCACCGTGGGAAACGGCGGAGATGGGACCTGGCCCTGCGCCTTAACAAGCCGTCCAGGTGCGCCCCGGCAGGAGGAGGAGGAAGGGATGGCTGAGCGCAACGGGGAAAGGAGGGTCTCTCCTTTAAGACGGAGTAGACGGCGCCCTGCTGGCCCTGCGCGAGCCTCCTAACAGCCTGCAGTGGGCGACCGCGCTCAGGTGGGGCTGGGAGGAGGCCGGAGGGCGGGAGCCAGGGGCGCCCAGCGCGCGGGGCCGGGGAGGCGGCTAACTGGCCGCCTTCCCTGGCGAAGGGCCGCTGGGACCACAACAGCACCGAGGGGGCCCCCGGGTAATCCCAGTTACCTTTCCGGCCCGGGCGTCGAGCGCCCCGACCCGCCCCGACCCGCTTGCCCCGGGGCTGCGCCGCTGTGCCCGCGGGGGGCAAGGGGGTCTCGGGGCGGGTGCGGGATGCGGGCCGGGCCTCGGCTCACCGCGGGCGCCCGTTCCGCACAGCCGCCGGCGGCATGAACCTCAGCAGCACGAGCAGCGCGGCCGAGAGAGTGCCCAGGGCCATGCTCTGGGGTGAGTGAGGGCCTGGCGGCTTCCGAACCCGGGGGGTGGGGGTTTGTGATAGAAACGGGGAGCCCCTCCCCGAGCCGGCCCGGCCCCCTCGCTCCTCTCCCTTCGCAGGCTGTGAGCTAAACCAGGAGAAGCGGACTTGCACGGTCAAAGCCCAGAAGGAGTGGAAGCAGGACTGTAAGCTGCTGCTCAGTACGGTGGGTGCCCCCACCACCACCACCGAAGGGGTGGTCGGATGCAGCCGGGAGGAACCTGGACAGCTGCGGAGGGCAGGGGGGACCCTCTGGTCCCAGAAGGTGGAACCAGGGTTTCCCTCCGCTGCCCTCAGGTGTTGAGGTGGTCTGTCTTGTCTTCAACCGCTCTCAGATATGCTTGGGGGAGAAAGCCAAAGAAGAGATGAACCTCGTGGAAATCCTGCCGCCAGCCTGCCAGGAAGACAAGAAGACCAAGCCCATCACCATTGCCTCGCTTCAGGCCTCCGTGCTACCCATGGTGAGCCTTTCCCCGCAGGCCTAGGGAGACTGCCTGCCCCGGGGCTAGGAGGCCCTACTCAGGCCTCAACTCCTGGGTAGGGATGGACAGACACCAAGCGGGGATACAGTCGTTCCGCAGCAGGGCAGCCCTTCCTCAGAGACCGTGTAGCCCTGACCAAGAGCCCGGCCCGGCCGTAGGAGGCAGAGAGCCCCACGTCAGTCCCAGCGCACCCTTTCCTAGCTGTGTGACCTTGGGCCAGTTTAACCCCTCTTCAAAATCACATTTTTAAATCTTTTAATGCTGGTGACAGGACACTGTTGATGACTTCCATACTGACTGTGTATCCAGAAATTCTCTTACTTCTAATAATTTGTCTTGAGCGCTCTATGCAAATCATCGTTGTTAATAGCAGTTTTGTGTCTTTTTTAAATCCAACTACACGGTCTAGGACCTCCAGTAAAATATTGGGTAAGATTATAACGGTATATGTCCTTGTTTTGTTCATATATATATATATATATATTTATTTATTTGAGAGAGAGATCGAGTGCATGTGAGCGTGGGGTGGGGGGAATCTTAAGCAGACTCCATGATGAGCACAGAGCTGGATCTCCTGACCCTGATATCATAACCTGAGCTGAAACCAAGAGTGGGCCGCTTAACCAACTGAGCCGCCCAGTGGCTTGCTTTATTTGACGGAGAGAGACACAGCAGCAAGAAAGGGAACACAAACAGGGGGAGTGGGAGAGGGAGAATCAGGCTTCCCGCTGAGCAGGGAGCCCAATATGGGGCTCTATCCCAGGACTCTGGGATCATAACCTGAGCCCAAGGCAGACGCTTAAGAACTAAGCCACCCAGGCGCTCTGGGATTTCTTCATTTTAATCATAATTGGTTAGCAAATGCTTTTCTACTCAGGTAATCATAGGTTCTTTCTTTAACCTGTTAACATGGTAAGTTATATTAATAGAATACTATTCTGCCAACTTTTCATTCCTAAGATAAATACTACGTGATCATACTATAAACTTCTAGTTTGCTTTGCTAATATATTAAAACATTCTTTTTAAACTTACACACTCATAAGTGAGGTTAATCCATAAACTCCTTATCTTATTTGGGTATCGAGGCATACTAGCCTCCTGAACAGGGGGGTGGGGTGCTCTCTCCTTCTATGTGGTAGAACAGTGAAGGTAAGACCAATATCATCTCTCCCTGAACATCTGGGAGGCCTATCTGTAAAACTGCCCTCTAACTTTTATCCCTTTATCTCTGAGATCCCCCTAGATCTCATTCATTACCAGGGCTTTCAAAACCATCTATACAAATGGAGACTCTGATGTTTATTTCTGTAAACCCACTCTCTTTCCTTCATTCTCCAGGTCCCCAGCCAGCTCCATGTATCTGATACCTAAGAGATAGCCCATACTTAACAAACCAAAACTCTTGATTTTTATCAATAATCTCTTCCCCTACCCCCAAACCTGATCCTCTCCCAGGATAAAAATGCTCTTCCAGTTAATCAGGACAAAAACTTCCTTTTCAAACACCGCATATCACCAGCAAATCCTGTTGGCTCTACCTTCAGACATCCACCATCCAGTCTGACCACCACTCAGCACCTCCCTACCATACCCTGGTCCAGGTGACCATTACCTCTTGCTCAATTTTATTGCCTCCAACCTAGTCTACCTACCTCCCTTGGTTCCTTATAATCTATTCCAGGGTTCAACAAACTACAGAATTAAACCCAGCCCACTGCCTGTTTTTGTAAATAAGGTGTTATTGAAACACAGCCACACACCTCCGTGTATGTATTATTCATGCCAATTTTCACTTGGTAACAGCAGAACTGAGTGGTCTCCACAGAAACCATATGGTTCACAAGCCTAAAGTATTTACCGAATAACTACAGAAAAAAGTTCTCCAACTCCTGATCTATTCTATGCACAGCTGCCAGAAGGATGCTTTTAATTTTTTTAAATATTTAAGTAATCTCTCCACCCAGTGTGGGGCTTGGACTAACATCCCTGAGATCAAGAATTGCAGGCTCTTCTGACGAGCCAGCCAGGGGCTTTCAGAAGGATCCATTTAAATACAAATCAGACCACGTGGCTTCCCTTTTCACTTCAAATGAAATCCGAGATCCTTTACTTCTGGCCTGCAGAAACCTCTCTTAATCTCAACCTTTGCTACTCTCCCCTCCTTAACCCTGCTCAAACCACACTGACTTTCTTGACTGTACCTTGAAAATTCCAAACATACCCCTTCCTAGGAGTCTTGTGTTTACTGTTCCCGTGAGAAGGACACACATACCCCCCACTTCAATTCAACCTTTGCTCATATGTCCTCTCACTGGAGAAGTCTTCCCTGACCACAAACAGCACCCCCTCTTCCTACCCTTCCATAATCATTTGATTCCCCCATGGGACCCGTCACTGGCTCAGTCTTCATTTGTGCCATATCTTTCTCTCCAGCCAGGATCTAAGCTCCAAGAGAGCAAGGACTGCCTGTTTCATTTACTGCCTTCACCACAGTGCCTGGTATACTGTGGAAACTCAATGTAGAATGATTGAGTGAGTAAGGAAGTGAACAAACTGTGTGGCACCCATTTGTCTCAATGTTTCCATTTCTTTGAGCTGGTTTTTTTCTTTCTTTCTTTTTTTTTTTTTTTTTTTTAGAGATTTTTATTTATTTATTTGACAGAGAGAGGAATGGAAGCAGGCTCCCCGCTGAGCAGAGAGTCCATGCGGGGCTCAGATCCCAGGACCCTGGGATCATGACCTGAGCCGAAGGCAGAGGCTTTAACTCACTGAGCCACCCAGGCGCCCCCGGGTTGGTTTTTCTATCTGCTTTACTGAGATATAATTTACATGCAATAAGATTCACCAATGAGCTCCATTTGCCTTTGACAAATGGAGCCGTCACTGCTGTCGAAGTAGAGAAAATTTCCACCGCCCCCCAGAATTCCCTCATGCCTCTCTGGAGTCAGCTCTTTCCACCTACCACTGCCTCTGGCAACCTTTGATCTATGACTTTCTGTCACTATAGTTCTGCCTTTTCTAGAATTTCATCTCCATGGAATCAGGCAACGCATATTCTCTTGTACCTGGCTCTTCTCACTTAGCGTAACAGTTCCGAACTTTATCCATGTTGTTGGTTGGTAAAAGAGTAGGTGCTCATTTTTTGTATCAGAGTAATATTCTATTCTACAAAGGTATATATCTGTTAAGATCTATTCACTCACTTGTTAATGGATATTTGGGTAGTTTCTAGTTTTATACTACCATGACTAAAGCTGCTATGAACATTTGAGTGTATTTGTATGCACATATGTTCTCATTCCTAGTGACTACCAAGGAGTAGAACTACAGGATAAGCCTATATTAAATTTTATTCTCCCCTCCCATCCTCTTGTCTATGTTCAACTTTATAGAAAACTGCCAAATCTTTAAAAAAAAAAAAAAAAAGGGACGCCTGGGTGGCTCAGTTGGTTGGATGACTGCCTTCAGCTCAGGTCATGATCCCGGAGTCCCGGGATCGAGTCCCACATTGGGCTCCCAGCTCCATGGGGAGTCTGCTTCTCCCTCTGACCTTCTCCTCGCTCATGCTCTCTCTCACTGTCTCGCTCTCAAATAAATAAATAAAATCTTTAAAAAAAAAATAAAAAATAAATAAAAATAAATAAAAAAAAAAAAGAAAACTGCCAAACTGTTTTTCCAAATTACTGTACCACTTTGCATCCCTACCAGCAGTGGACGAGAATTCCCGTGTTCCACATCCTCACCAACACTTTGCATTGTCAGTCTTAACGTTAGCCATTCTAGTATGTATGTAGTGGCATCTCACTGTGGTTCTTATTTATATTTCTTTGATAACTAATGATATTGACCATCTTCTTGGTTTTTGACCATTTGTGTATCTTCTTTTGCAAAATGCCTGTTGAGATGTTTTGCCCATTTTTAAGTTGAATTATTCTTATTGAGTTGTAGTTCTTTATATATTTTGGATAGTCTTTTATCAAAAATATTTATTTCAGGGTACCTGGGTTATTCAGTTGGTTAAGCATCTGATTTCAGCTCAGGTCATGATCCTGGGGTCCTGGGATAGAGCACCGCATCGGGCTCCCTGCTCAGCAGGAAGCCTGCTGCTCCTTCTCCCACTCCCCCTGCTTGTGTTTCCTCTCTTGCTGTCTCTCTGTCAAATAATAAATAAAATCTTTAAAAATAATACATATATTTATTTTTCAAATATTTTCTCTTAGTACATGGCTTGCCTTTTCATAATAGTTTTTTCAAAGAGCACAAGTTTTTAATTTTATAAGTCCAATTTGACATTTTTTTCTCCTTTTTAAAAAAAGATTTTATTTATTAGAGAGAGTGCATGAGCAGGGGGAAGGGCAGGGGAAGAGGGAGAAGCAGGATCACTGAGGAGGGAACCTGATGAGGGACTCGATCCCAGGACCCTGAGATCATCACCCAAGCCAAAGGAAGATGCTTAACTGACTGAGCCATCCAGGTGCCCCTGACATTTTTTTCTCTTATGGTTCATTTTTTTGGTGTCCTGAGAAATCATTACCTAAACTAAAGTCACAAATGTTTTCTTTTAAATTTTCTTCTAGAAGTGCTATTGTTTTAGCTCTTATATTTAAGTCAATGATCCATTTCAAGATAATTTTTTTACATGGTATAAAGTAAGGATAATGAGACTTTTTTTTCCAAGTTTCTATCCAGTGCTCTAGTACCACATTTTTTAAAAAAGACTATCCTTTCACTGTGCAATTGTATTGGCATTTTGCCGTAAATCAATTGCCCATATATGTATGTGTATATTTCTATATTATTTTGTTGATTTATTTTTTACCTTTACTCTCCTAACAGTGATTTGGTTATCATAGTATTATAGGGAGTCTTAAAATTAGTATGACTCTTACAATTTTGTTGTTCCTTTCCAAAATTGTGTTGGCAATTCTAGGTCCTGAGCATTTCCATGGAGATTTCAACAGGCTTTCTTTCCTAAT